CCCCCCCCCCATCTCTCCCCCTCCGTCTCTGTCTGTCTGTCTCTCTCTGTCACCGTCACGACGAGGGAGTGTAGCGTGTTGTCTCCCAAATCGTGTACACTCCAATGTTTGTAGCACAGTAAGAGCCTGCTCATGTCGATCAACCGGGGGTCGGGGGACAAATGGTCTCAGAGTCGAAGGAGTCAGATGTCTCTGTGGACCAAGTGCTGCCCTGTGTCTGACTCGACGTCCTCCTCCATCAGATCCATCCGTCATCCGTACATCCGGTCTATGATCGGAGTTGCCCACGTCGCCGGGCCCTGTTGACTCGCTGGTCGGGATGTCTGAGTTGTCATCGTGCAGTATAGTGGAAGCACCACGTCTCTTCTCCGCAGGCCCTGCCCCCTCGGCGCGATTGCGTCGCTCGTCTCCTGCAATGCCCGAGCCGTCACGACCTCGTGTCGATCTGCGTAAAGTGCCTCCTGCAGATGGTTGTCCGCCTTCCGGTCCTCCAGCATGTGCAACAATCTCCTGCCGGGCAGCGTGCCCATGCACAAAGTTCTTGGATGCGGCGTCATGACAACTCGGATGCAGTGAAGATCCCTCGGGTCCGTCCTTGTTTCTTGCTCGTGACATACTGGCCTTCCACACATTAGTGAAGGCAACATTGGACGTCTTCGTCACCAACTGTCTGCCATGCTGGTCCGCGTACTCACGCATTGCACCATGACGACGACCGTCGACAGCCCCAATGTAGCGCGTCCCGAGGGGCACATCTGCCGGAGCGCATGCGCTTCTCCATGCCACAGTTGCGCCGTTTGTCGCTCCTGCTCTCCCCCGATCGTAAAATGAGGATGTCGGCAACACCGGAGCAGGCGGAGCAGAATGGTTGCGCATGGCGGGCCCGTCATCAGTGCGCCGAGCAGCCGACTAAGCTGCTGGAACGTCATTCGCAGGCTGTGCATGACCTGCACTGCACTCAAGTCCTCTCGATCGACCCTCTCCACCTGGCGTATGCGATGCTGCTCCCACAGGTGGATCCCCTCCAGGTCCAACGAATGATGCACCCTGTCGAAGAGACTCCGTCCAAAGAGTCTGTGAAGCTGCGTTGTGCGGAGCTCCGCCCGTCCCTCGTGTGAGATAGACCTACATGGCGTGTCGTAGTCTCGGCCATATTATATAATACTTTAAAAGTCTTGTATTGTAATAAAAGACCATAAAAACCAAAAAAGTAAGTCATGTCATAGCAGCACCGATTGTTATTCCTGTAAAACTGTTTTTTGCAATTGGTGTATCAAGTATTCTCAAATTACCATATTTTTCAAAGTTCAATGGGAGAAGAGAGAATATTGTCTAGCTGAGCATTCTTGGCAAGGAAGGAGAATTATTGTATCAAGATTTGAATATTCGCTTGGTAATTGTTGAGCCATGTCTTCCAAAATAAATCAGTTGTTTTTGAATTGTTTTTTTTTTTTATTACTCTTGAATTGCAGAAATTATATAGATATATCCTTTAGTGATTGGTCTTTTAGCAGCGCGTAAAGAAAACCTTTAAACGGAGTCTAATTTTTGTGTAAGTTTTTATTATATTGACATACACTCACTTTCCACTTGTATAGTTGCTGCTTTAGCAGCTGCGGCTTGTCCATTCCGGTTCGAGTCCGGACAGCGGCCTACTACAATTACGGAATGTCTGGAATAATCTACTTGCAAAGCCATCCAT